GACTCCGTCCACACCTTTGGGGACCCCTGGACCTGCTGGGGTTGGACCCCGGCAGGTCACGAAGATCACGGTGACCACAACGTCCCTGCTGGGCAGCAGATGATAGAGATCCACCTCAGGCACCGCATCCAGCTGGCCGATGAGATCTTCAGCAACTTCAACCAGTACTCCCACCTGGTCCAGGAGGTTCACAAGCAGGTGATCCAGGAGCAGCAGCAAGAAGACAGCACTGAGGATGGCCTGGGCCATGGCTGGCTGAGCCCAGTGTCGGGGAGTCCGGGGCTGCAGCTTTGGAGGAGCAGCCTGTCCAGTTTGTCCTGCCTGTGGGCGTGAGCTCCAGTAATCAGAACTACCCGCGAGCTTGCAGGATGTGTTTCTCTGGTGTGGGCATCGTTGCCTGCTCTGGCTCCGCCTACCCCCAGCGCATGCCTGGAGTCTTCATCCTGTTCGATGAAGACCACCTCCGTTTCCTCTGGTTTTGCCTCAGCCTGTACAGCAGAGTCCAGGTCACCTTCCAGAATGCGGAGGCAGCATCCCCACAGGCTTTCCAGGAGATTCTCAAGAACATTCAGTCCCCACCCCCTGAAGGCCCCTCCCTTGCCCAGGGGCAACAGCGGGGAGAAGAGGCTTCAGGGGAAGAGCAGCTTGCATGCATTTTAAAGATTGGACCTTCTGACCTGATGACCCACCTTCTTGTTTGTTTTTAATCCTCACCCGAGGAGATTTTTCCATTGGTTTTTGGAGAGTGGAAGAGAGAGGGAAAGGCAGAGGAAGATCCACGTGAGAGAAACACATGGATTGTTTGCCTCTTGCATGTGCCCTGTAATACTTTAAACAATTTTAAAAAAAGTCATTCTTATGTCACATAATATGGACACAGCCCTTGCATGTGAGCCTCGGAGTAGCCCTTTGCCAGAAGGGAGGTGCCTGGAATTAAGTCGAGTGGCATTGTCTTTATCCTCTTCAGGATTTTCATCTGTGCTTCTGCCCATACAAGGCCTGAAACCCTTCATTTTAAACCTCAGAGCCAACATTGGTTTTGCCCTTAGATGCCAGCCTAGCTTTGGACTGCTTTACTCTACCCACTGCCTCGTCCACGGGCCCAGGCATCTGCCCAGCTGTGATGATTATGTCTTTGCTTCCCAAGTTGCTGTTACAGCCCGATAAAGCTTGGGGTCCTTTTGAGTTCTAATTCACTTTGACATCATCTGACCTCCTAAAAATAGGGTGCTTAGCCGTGGAGGCAATAGGAGCTTCCGACACTGGATGAGTTAAGTCTTATAGCTTCACACACGTCATTAACTCCCCCCCCCCCCCCCGCACCCCACCCCAAGAAATCTGATTTAGAAGCAGTGGGCTGAATGCTATCCTAGCTCACTACTGCTAGCTTCCCATAACAGCTACAGGCTCCAAAACTCAGATTCTCCTTCCTCCACAAGGATGGGGTCATTATGCTCTATACAAACAGTGGAGTGTAGAAGGAGGTGAGACCTTAATTCAAGGGAAGAACCATGGGATAATCACCCAGACCACCTCCAAGTGACCTTCGAAGGAGAACTCTGCTTTGTTGAGTTCCCCTCACCCCTATAATGAGACCAATTCTCAGGGAGGTAGGAATTCATTAAGGTGGAGGCCACACGAAACTAGTTCCAAGATATGTCTGCTGGACTGTTTCCTATTGACTTTGGGCATAAGGCTTTATAAGCACCCTTATGTTCATTTTTCTAGGTGAAATGAACACAGCTTGAGTACAATACCCACTGCTTCTCTATTCCATCCCACAATCTGAGCATAGCAATAGCTATGAAAGGACAGAAGTTCTCACAAAGCAATTCTGTTTGCCCCAAGTAAAATACCTAAAGATGAGCTATGAATTAACCCTGAGAGCCTTAGCATATGATCCTTTCCTTTTCCATGAACTAAAAAATGGCTTAAGATTTCAAGGGCTAGTGCTCGCTTCGGCAGCACATATACTAAATTGGAACGATACAGGGGAGAACGATTTGCATGGGCCCTGTGTAAGGATGTCACGCAAATTCATGACGCGTTCCACATTAAAAAAAAAAAAAGATTTCAAGGGCTGACCGAATACCGTTGAAACCGAGTTCCAAACTTTTCCTTAATGGCTCAACCTCTATATTCCTTATTAAAGTCATAGCTGATCCAATGCAATGGAATCTCAAAGGGAAACAAGTCAGAGAAGCTCTAAAAGAATGATCTAAATGCTCCCCTTGGGGACATCCTAATTATAAACGTCTTCTTTTTATACATGAAAATAAAGGAAATGCTTTAAGTGTTTTAACTCAAACACGGAGCTCATCATAGAACTATAGGATACCATAGCCAACAATTAGATTCAGTAGCAAAAGTGTTCCCTCCCTGCTTCGGCCATGGTATGCAAGCAGAATAGTTATGGGCTCTCCTTCAACCATTTGCGTTCATTTTGTGGAATCTTTACTGAGCTCTTACTGTACACTCAGCATTTCTCAGGCAGCCACCTGGTTTCTTACCAAGTACTCTTGCTCTCTTTGCCCAATATTGGGTGAGTCCAATGTAACAGCCTTAATCCAGAAACCCTGTTACCTTCTTTACAAGAAGAAGGCACACAAGGTTGCATTTTACTTGATACCTTCTTGCTCCTGGAATAATTATACAGGAAATTCCTATTAACCAAGGACAACTTAATTTGGTTTGCAGATAGATTTTATCTCAAAAATGAGATGAGAGAGAGAGAGAGAGAGAGAGAGAGATTGCTTAGCTGGGCATGCAATGACTTCATGGTCAGTTTAACAGAAAGTTCTTATTTACCTGAAATAATCTGTCTTGTTGGGCAGATTTTAATTTCTCTAATTTGAGCTTGTCAAGTGGCCAAAGATCAAATAGCCAACATTATACTGATTATCCTCTACCACTGGTGTAGCTTATGACTTTGGAACGTTATGGAAGCAACGAGGCTTCACTTCTTAACTTCCTCAGGGTGGTCTATAAAGAATAAAAAAAAGGTTGCAGAATTAGATGCTGTACAGCAACCAAGACAATTGGCAATTATCAAGATTCCAGGACACTCTAAAGCTACCACCCTTGAAGCGAAAAGAAATCATTTAGGTGATGCTATAGCTAAATAAGCAGCGCTAGGCAATCAAATTATCCATACCTGAGAATTTTGCTTCTGCTAAATCAATAAAAGATTGATAGTTCCACAGCAGCTACAGAATAAAATATATGGCAACACAAAGGGGAAACCTTTGACCCAGACAAACAAATATGGCTTGGACCCAGTGGGAGATCTATATTACCTATAGGGGCTCAATTGCCTATACTTCAACATGAACAAACACATCGGGGTTCTAAAAGAGTGATTTCATGGAGTACACATTACCAGAAACCTTCTCTCACTATAAATCATAAGTATATAGCAGATGTTCTGTAAAATATAGCCCTGGAACACACTCCATAGATCCCAGGGACATTTCTCACTCCCGTTAGGCCCCTTTGAGGTATGGCAATTGGGTTGTATCCGAATGCCACTGCCTCAAGAATACGAGTGTGTTAGTTATGACTTGTGTGTTCTCTCATTGGATGGAGGTATTCCCTTGCAGGAGAACAACAGCCTTAATGGAAGGTAAAATTTTATTGGGGGAAAAATAATGCCCCCTTGGAGAGTTTCCTATGAGTCACATAGTGACCGAGTGACTCATTCACTGGGCAAATAATGCAATCCATTGTGTAACATTTGGCCTATCTACAGCATTTCATTGTGCTGATCATTCCCAGTTTTTTGGATTGGCATGTACCAATGGTACAAGTAAAACTCAACTAGCTTGAAGATGAGCATCCAGATGCCACCCACACTCCTGGTGCTGGCAGCAAAGCGCCTGCTTAGGGACCAGGCCTTGGCCATTGCAGCTCTGGAGTACCTGCCCACTGAGCTCTTCCCGTACCTGTTCGTCCTGGCCTACCGTGGTGGACACCACTGCCAGCTCCTGAAGGCGTTGGCCCAAGCCTGGCCCTTCACTGTCCTCCCTCTGGAGGTCCTGATGCAGCGTCCCCCTGATCATGCCCCAACCAGGGCCACAGGCTTAAAAGCTGTGTTTGACACGCTTGATGTTCTGCCTGCCCAGGAGGTGCAAACTGCGGGTGCTGGATTTAAGGAACATGGGTGCCAACTTCTGGGATATGTGGCTTGGAGTCAGCACTGAAAATTGCTCACCGACAGGACCAGTGACTGCACAGCTCCGGCTCCAACATGGAGCATCCCCCGGCTCCCTTAGAGGTGTTCCCGGACATTAACTTCAACGAAAGGGACCGGGATGTTTTTCATGCACATCATCCAATGGGCCCAGCAGAGGGAAGGGTTGCTACACCTGTGCTGCCAGACACTGAGGATTTCTGAGGTGCCCTTCCAGAGGGTCAGGAGGGTCCTGGCTAGGGTGAGGCTGGACTGCATCCAGGAGGTGTATGTGAACTTCACCTGGGACCTGCCCACCCTGGGGAGATTTGCTCTCTACCTGGGTCAGATGAGTAACCTGCAGACACTCTTTTTCCTGGAAGAGTTGGCTGAGGAGGAAGAGGACAAAGAGCAGGAGGAGGGGGAGGAAGAAGAACAACAGGAAGAGGAGCAGGAGTGGGAGGAGGCAGGAGGAGCAGCGATCCTTTTCCCAATTCCTCTCTCAGATGCTCAGGCTGTGGCACCTCCGGGAGCTCTACATGCGTTCTCCCTCCTTCCTCCCAGGCCGTCTGGACCAGATGCTCATGCGCCTGCAGGCTCCCTTGGACCTGCTCTGCCTAACATATTGCCAGCGGCTGACGCATTCAGACCTGACACACCTGTTCCAGTGCCCGAACCTCAGGCAGCTGAAGATCCTGCACCTAGTTGGCCTCAGCCTTGCGGATTTCAGTCCCGAGCCCCTCCGAGCGCTGCTGGAGGCAGTGACACCCACCCTCCAGGACCTGGGTCTGATAAATGTGGGATGGCGGACTCCCAAGTCGAGGCCATCCTGCCTGCCCTGAGCCGCTGCCACCAGCTCAGGAAGTTGGCCTTCAGACCAGTCTGTAACCTCAGGCTGAGCAGCAGTGAACTCAGGGGGAGCAGTCCATTCACCCTGAAATTCCATCTTGGTCACAGCCTTCTCAGCAGCAGCCTGCTCTTCCTTTTCAATCTCTTCAGGTTCTCTGTAGAAGTGAAGATCGGACATGACTTCCCACGGGTGCTCACGGGAGAGAGTGCCACGCATGCGGAGTACTTCCCGGGCCAGCATCCACCACGTCAGACCCACTGAGTGAGCCCCCTGTTGCAAGGGATGGAAATGTCCAGAGCGCAGAGGAGAGTCTGTGTTACACAGAGCGACGGTGGGCAGGATAACATAAGACGCCTCTGAGAGGCTGGTGGTCAGCCCTGGGGTCAGTAACCACCAGAAGTCTTGGCTCCCGGAAGGCTGCCTGCATCTGGTGAAGGTTCCAGGAGTGAAGCGGCGGCAATAGGAGTGGCTCCGGCGGCAGCAGCAAACTTCAGCACAGCTCGCTGGCCAGGATCTGCCCATGGAGATCTTTGCCTTGCTCCCCGGCACTGATCTGCCCAGCCTGGCCCAGGCCTGCACCAAATTCCACCACATCCTGCACACGGACAGCATCTGGAGACGGTGCTGCTGCGAGGAGTTTGGGGAAACTTGCAGAACCAGGAGATGATCGGTATCTCTTATCGAGAAGTCTATGTGAAGCCGTTCCACCCATACAGACACATTTTGGGATTGTGGCAGCTAGATAATAGCTATCGAACACTGCTGAATGTAGTGGTGGATGGCTTATGCATTGCTGGTTGGACGTACGGACCTTCCCATAACATCCATGTGGATGGCCCAATGCAATTCAAGCTCTCGTTCAGAATTAGCCTGACGGAGAGGAAATCAGCCACGATGGAGTGCATGAACGACTTCTACAGCTTTTCCCACAGCCGCCACCTGCAGATTCAGAAGGACAGGTTCAGCATCCAGTGGATCAAGAGAGACTACCGAAGGGATTTACCAGTGCGGCTTAGGGGAGAACGGGGGCGGGTGCTGGTGCAGGAGGACAGACATCAGTATGACTGCCTGACCTACAGCCGCCTCTACCTCCCGCCAAGCCACCGGACGACCTCATCAGGCCAGGCCTCCTCCAAGGCAAATATGATCCGTACGGCCTAACGATTGTCATGCTTGGATTCCATGGGAGGTATGCCAGGGTCACGAAGTTCATGGGAGAGTCCATCAGGACATTAGAGATCCACCTCATGCGCCGCATGCAGCTGCCAGATGGCGAGATCTTCCGCAACTTCAACGAGCTCTCCCGCGTGGTCCAGGAGATTGACCAGCAGGTGATCTGGGAGCAGCAGCAGCAGCAAGAAGACGGGACTGAGGAAAGCGAGGGCCATGGCTGGCAGAGCCCTGCCCAGCCCAGCGTCGGGGAGTCCAGGCCTGCAGCTTCGGAGGAGCAGCCTGTCCCGTTTGTTCTGCCTGTGGGCGTGCACCCAATAGACCAGAACTAACCCTGGAACCTGCAGGATGTGTTTTTATGGTGGAGTGGACACTGTTACTGTTACCTTACATGGCTTTGCCTACACCAGGCACTGCCCTGGAGTCTTTATCCTGTTCGATGAGAACCACTTTGGGTTCATCTAGCTGGAGGAGAAATACTTCTTCCGGTATGGCAGAGTCCAGAACACATTCCAGAATGTGGAGGCACCATCCACGCAGACTTTCCTGGAGATGCTCAAGAACATTCAGTCCGGACCCCCTGTGAGGAGCAGCTTGCACTTTGAAGATTTGACCTTCTGACCAGGTTACCCACCTTTGTTTTTTTAATCCTCACCCGAGGATATTTTCCCACTGATGTTTAGGGAGAGCAGGGGAGAGAGGGAAAGATAAATAATCCATGTGAGAGAAACACATCAGTTGGTTGTCTCCTGCCCAAGGCCGGACCAGGGCCAGGCTGGGTAGCAGCCAGCAATTGAGGTAGAAATAAACCTTAGACCAAATGATCTCAACCTTCCTAATGCTGCGACCCTTTAATAAAGTTCCTCATGTTGTGGTGACCCCCAATCTCCTTGTTACAAATTGAACATAATTAAAGCATAGTGATTAATCACAAAAACAATATGTAATTATGTATGTTTTCTGATGGTCTTAGGCCTTTCCATCAGCAGGTCCAGGCTCTATCCACTGAGCCAAACCAGCTAGGGCTGAGCAAGTCTTTTTAAAAAGAAAGAAAAAGGAAAGATCCTAAAATTAGATAGTGGTAATTGTTAGAATGTACAATTCTGAATATAATAAAAACCACTGAATTGTAAAAAACGAACAAACAAAAAAAAAACTGAATCCAATTCAAATGGTTTGAGTGAAGACTGTAATGAAAGAAAGCCTTAGTGGATGGAAGGAGTCAGGAATGAGGGATGAGGAGGCACCAGGGGCCAGCAATGGCAGGAAGCTACTGCAACCATAGGCCCAAGAGGAAAGAGGTACCGAACCCAGTGAGAGCTACGCCTATGGAAGAGGGTCCCACCTGGCAGGAGCAGCGGGCCTGGAGGAACAAACCTGCTGTCTGAGATGTGGCTGTAAAAGACAGAGGGGTAGTTGGGAACAAGTACCCAAACCTCTCATCTCCTAGCCAGTGTCTTCCAGTGGCCAGATCCACCTGGCCGTCAGCTTTCAAGGGAGATTAAGCGATATGGCCCATAGGTTGCTGCCCTTTAGGGGCACGGAGCAGAGTGTAGGGCGCATTGGTGCTGAGCAATGAAGAATAGCCAGCTCCCTTGGAGACCAATGAGGAGGTGAGGCCATCGGAAGGGAATCACCATATGACACTTAGGGAGAGGACAGAGTTCCAGGCTCTGCAGCCTGTCTTCACACAGGGCCCCATGTCAGGACCCCACAGGCTGGAGTGAGCCAGTGCTGGAGCCCAGAGGCCCTCCCACTAGTCAGGGATTCATTGCAGACTCATTTTGGAGCCGAGAGAGGCAATATCTTGTTCATCCCCAAATCTGGCACTAGTTCCCTGCTGGTGACAAGCTAGCAGAGGTGGAGAGCCCCTGGCAGAGGAATTCGCCAGCACCAGCCTCAGTCTCTGGATATTTTTCACACGTGGCTTCCAGGCTCAGTGCGGCTCCAACACACACACTCTTGCTCCTAAACAAGATTAATCTCATTTCCTTAGTCCTATTACCAGGGAGGTCAGCCATCTCCATTTCTTAATGGAGTTAGATTAGGTGATAAATCAATCCTGATTAGAGACACTATTCTCCAGTGGGAGGAGGTGCCAGCGGCTCAGCTTGGGGAAGCTGTGGTGTGGGGCTCGAAGGAGAACAGTCTGGGATTGCTCTCTAGTGAACGAGTATAAAACAAGGTAGTACACCTGTGTCTCGTTGGCTTCTAGCTCAGCATTGCACCGTGTGCTGTTTGAACAGGGTCCATGCCACACAAGTGTCATTTTAGCCAGTGTCAGGAAGGTGTCTGGCAACTAGAGAGGAACGACGCGAAGAGAGCACTGCACGGTGCCTTTATATTACAATTTCAACTTTTAAGAATGTCAACTACATACCGCGATGAACCCATTTCAGAGAGAAAATTTCACACAATGACAAAGAACTCCCCTGAGTGGCTTTCAATGTCTTTCTTGTCCAAGTCCCATTTCCTGACCTCCTTATTTCACATTAAAATGAGCATGCCCCTCCTTCTGGGAAATTATGCTAATTTAATGGTCACCACCCACATATATTCCTACCAAACAATAAGCTCTCCTGACCTTTCTCAGGCAGGTTTGGAGCTTCATGGCGTCCAGCACAGATGGGGGTCCTGAGGACCAGCTCACAATTGGGGGAGCACAGAGCGGTACGAGGCCTGTTCTCCGACCATTGTAATGTGAGGAGTGTCAGGATGGGCACAAGCAAGACAACCCCAACTGTCACGTTAGGCAAGCATTTGGGGCTGAGCACCCCCAGCCCCAAGGATCCAATAAAATGAAGGGAAGGAAACATAAACCATTGGCTTCCCAGGATCCACAGAAGCCATTTAAGACAGGAATGGTTCTCCTGGTGTGAGTAAAGACTAGGGAAGACAGTTTTCAGAAAGCCACAGGCTGGCTGCATCTCAGCAGTGGGTCAGCAAGACAGCTCTGCAGCCATGGGGGAACCTGTATCCATCTAGAATACAGACCAGCCTTTTCTGGGAAAGCTCAGAAGAAATATGATGCCTCAACTTCAGCCAAGAAGAGACAACTCATTTTATCCAAGACCAAGCGGAGACATCGTGAGAAGTCTCAACTTCCTAGGAAACTGACCAGCTGCATTTTCAAGAGTCCAGTAACAAAGACAATGTCTCATCCTGACAATGTGCTCAGCGGCAGGCAGCAGAGTGGGGGGACCTGTAAATCTGTACATACAGGAGACTGCAGGGTCTCCAGGCCTGTAGCCCTGAAGGAGAGAACTTAAGTACTTTCCATGTCACAAATACCATGAAACTAATTGCATTGGGAAGTGTGGGTGAACCCCTGGGCCATGCTGGCCCTGGGTTTCTACACACCAGCCCCCAGCCCACCACAGCACAATTTTTAAATTAGGCAGAGATATCCCAGGAGCAGGTATCTGTGGGCCACAGCTTCTCTGCAGGCAACCAGTTACCCGAGGAGATATTGAAAGACAGATTCAGAGTGGGAAAAGCAAGAGAGAGACCGGCTGTGGCTTTGAGGGCAGACAGGTTAGCCAGGGAGGCAGAGAGAGCCAGGAGCAAGGAATAATGTTGCAAAACCTGAATGAAATTACAAGGCTGTGCAGAAAAGGCTCAGTGGTGTGGCTTTGGGGGAGTAGTTCACTGTGAGAACAACCTGGCCATACTGGTTTCCTTTCATGTCGATTCTGTTTCTTGCCCTGGGCTCTGATGCTTTGTTATACTCAAAAGTTTAATAACATGCGACTTTAAGGACTTTAAAAAAAAAATGAAAAACCAAGACAAGCAATTGGATTTCCTAGCCCATTCTCAGCAAATGGGAGCCAACTAAGGGTAGCCAATCACTTAGTTCCTACCTGACCACCAGCTGAGTAGGTTCAGGACTAGAATGCCCTGTGAACTTCACGTGAATGTTAGACTTGTGACTTGGAGCAGAGCCTACTGTCCCAAGTCAAGGTGGTTCTGACTGCCAGTTCCTGGGCTCTTTTGGGCTGAGGCACATGCTGGATTTGGGTTTAAGTCACGTGCCCACACCTCAGCCCTCTTCTCCCTCCCCCCGGGGCCTTGCTGAGTACTCAAGCTGAACATCTGACTTCTTGGATATCTTCAGTCCTTAATTGGATAAGTTACAGCTGGGTATTTTGCTCAAAGGGAACACCAAATTAAGATAATGATTGTCAGGATAAAATGTACATGAAATAGCAGAAACGTGGGGAAAGCCAGCTCCTAGGAGTGGTTAGGTCTTGGTCTCTGGGAAGTAGTTGAAATAAGCAAACATCTTGCCTTGACCCTGCAGAGCTGCCACAAAGCAGGATCATTCTTGGGAATCTGAGAGGAGGAAACAGAATCAAGAACAGAGTCTCAAAGAAGAGCTCCAGGGTCAGAGTTTGCCTCACCTTAAATTTCCTGAAGAAAAGAACTTCTTGAAGGCAGAAGAGGTCATTTCCTACCCCAGCCCCGCAAATGGTTCTCACTTAGTATGAGGCTTGCATGCAAATCTCCCTTGCCCCCTATCTCAAGACACCTCAAGCATTTTATGACAAAAAATGACCTGACAAGGACACATGTGATACCTTAATCAATAAAGAAAAATAACAAAGAAACGACCTGACATGCGATGAACTGGTCCAAATCTACCCCAGGCCCAGGAAGGGAGCCTGATGGGCCGGAAGGCAGGAGTCAGTGGTCAGAGACTAGGCCATCTCTGTAGGTGCCCCTGGGCTGTAACAAGGAGTTAGGCTGAGGGGTGGGAGCCCTGATACCTAGAGCTTCCCCCAGAGGGCCTTCCTGCCCAGGGCATTAGAAGGGAGCCCCCCTTATCCCCCACTTAAGGAGTGGTTTCTGTTCTTCCTGCCAGCAAGCCTCCACTTAGAACCCAGCTACATGAACTCCCTTCCCCACCACATCTCATCTAGCTCTCATCTAAGTCTCAGTTACCCAAAGGCTATGCCACTTAGTGATGAAGAGGGGACAGTAGGAACCAGTCTGAAGAGAGAAGCTGCCTAGGTAAGTCTTGAGGGTAGTGGACATTCAGGGTAGGGAGCTGTGCAAAGAACTAGAACTTCGCTTCAACACCAGACCTAGAACTGAAACCGGGTGAGCTCAGCAGGGGAGCATGTTCACAGCAGGCAGTCAGTTCCTGGTTACAGGGTGGGCAATAAGCCAAGCTCCTATGACCACCATGCAGGCCTCATAAAACATGTCAACTGAAGGCAACTGAGCTATCAGGTTAAACACTCACAGCTTAAGCAACTCCCTGGAGACATGAGAAGTGGCAGGATTCTGGCTGAAGCTATCATTGGGCCCTAAAGCCTCTGACTAGCCTTTT